ATATAATAACTTTCTTTGCAAAACTTCCAAATAACTAAAACATCTTTAACATAATATTCCAGTAATAACAATGTTTTGATGAGCATTGTAAAGTAGGGCCCATTTGTTACTACAAACCACTAGTATGTACCTTGAATCTTTAATATAATGGGCTTTAGGGGGGTAAGTTCATAGCTAAAAATTATATTTAAATTGGACAGTCATAATCCATGGATTGTCTGTATTTCAAAGTCAGGTATTTACAAAACTGATCATTTTCAAAGGAAAGGTAATCACTTTTGTAATAAACTAAAGTATTATTTGCAAATACAAAATATAACAAAGCCTAATCTTGAACAATTTTTTTAAAATGCAGGACTGCACACATAAACCTTAGCATTTTTGGCATTAATATATAAAATGATATAAAAGAGTTTCATAAAAAGATTACTTCTTTCTACAATTAAAAAATTATCCTATCATTTTCAAAACAAAATTAAATGTTAAATGGAAGTTTACAAAGTGTCTGCAACTTGTATCTGTACTATTAAATACAGAATACCTTCCTTACAGGATGCAAGCCTTGACTATGACCATAACGATGCTGCTAAATGATGGGACTTCAACCTCATGCCTAGAATAAAATGTTATCGTACAACTACAGTTGGAAAGCTGCTTTAATGAAAAATCAACTTGTTTTTGCTTTCAATGTAAAAATCTCATTCATTTGCATTCCCCCTCCTCTTTGTTGGAGATATTTCAAAGTTTTAAATTTGATAAAACACATATCATTTAAAAAAACTTAACAATAATTGGTCTTGATGTGTAGGGAAATCTAGGTATGTATGCTCATCTTTCAGTTCTGGTGGTATAGTGCCTAAAGCATTCGATTGTTAACCAGAAGGCTGGTTGGTGGTTCAAATCTACCAGGTACTCCTCGGAAGGAAGACTGGGCAATCTACTTCTGTAGTGATACCACCTTGGAAACCCAAAGAGGGGTCACTATGAGTCAGATATGACTCGATGGCTGTGAGTTTGGTGTTTGATTTTTGGTTTTTGAGTTAACTGAAAAAGTGAATAACACAATCCAAATTTGACGAGGTAAAATCAGTCTAAGTGTATATAGATAACTGCTATTTCAAGTTACTAACATATTTTTGTGGTCGTTCATATTATTTTTCCACTTAAAAATTATGAAATCATCTTATTCTTGCAAATTATAACATAACCAGTTTGAAAAACTTATAAATATTGAAGAATACTTCGTAATTTTTAAGATTGGTTAGCCTAAATCTAAAATAACATTATTTGTGTGTTTTCTTTCTAGTTTTAATTATATAAAATTCCTTAAGAACATTTTGCTCCTCCCTTGTCATTTAAGTCTATTTTGAAATTTTAAAGTAAAGTTTGGATTTTCAACTTCACACTTTTACTGAAAATTGCAAATACGTAAGTGCTCTCAAGCATTAAGAAATAAATAGAAGACCCTAAAATTCATAAGACTAGTCTAGATCATCAGGTGGCAATTAAACATTCTTAATCACTTCTAAAAAAATTATTATCCCCTTTTATAACATCTGTTTTAAATAGAATCAGGTGGGCAAGTTCAGAAAAGGGTGATATTCTCGTTTTTTACCATTCTCTTTCCATACTTATTGATGCCTTTTCCATAACTAATACCATTTCTGTTTGGCTTGGCAAAGAACATTTATGTGTTTGTATATTATATGTATCTGTAATACATTTAGCAATCACTGACACACATTCATTGGTGTTTATAAAATATTTTAATACAACACAGAATGCTTATGTTTCCATGAATAGCATACTTGTCCATCAGAAAATTCAAGAATTCCATGAGATGGCTTAAAGTCTTCCAGGTCAGCATTGTCCCATATTGCTTTCCAATAAACATTTACTGCCCCAAAGCTTCCAGCCAGCCTGATCACAGGAACGTGAAGAATATTCAAGGGCGGAGGCACCTCATGAGCAATCATAACTCCACCAGCATCCTTTAAATAAAGAGTGTAAGTTGAAACCAAGATAAAAGTAGAAACTCTTGTAAGTCATCACTTCACAAATTTATCATCTCCACTTATCTTGCTTATGTGTCATCCTCCAGAGTAGGAATTATAGTTGGATATAAATATGAATAATTGGTCTTCAAAATTCTTACAATTCCAATTTAATGAAAATAACTTTCTTAATCCTTTGCTCTCATTCTAAGGAAACTAAGAATTAGTCTATAAAACAAATTTAGTTGCTCTTCTACTTATAAATATCTATAAGTAGAGCTGATTATTTTGCAGAAAATATGATATTGTAAAACAATTGCCAAATCAGCAGGGACTTTTATATTACTATAAATATATGAAAGTTCATCTCACTCTGGTAACATGAAATCTAAAAATTCCTCTGGGATCATCATTTTCTTCAATCATTATCTCAGCTATTTCCATTCCAGGTCTCCACACACTTGGCTGTCCTACAGAGAAGTCAGAGTTCACTAGGTGCACATTGGTGATATTGACAATAAATCCTTCCTCCAATTCTGGAACATCATCCTAGGATGGGGAAGGGAGGGCAGATAATATTTTATTTTTTAAAAGATATTTAATTTGCATCAGAAACCCACTCTCCTTCAGTAATGAATAACTAACTTTGTCCACAAGAATGGGCAGTTCTATGTAAAAAAAAATCTGTTTTACACAACTTCAGGATCTTATATGATATTCAAGCTTATTTGATGCTTCAACAGAATCCTAATAATCATGATCAAGTAAAACATTTTTAAAATCTACCCTTCAATATTGACCATATCCTATTGAATATTTTTTGCTCATATAATATCCCAAAAATATTTAGGTCAAGTGGTAAGAGTCAAATTATGACCGTGAGTATATTTAGAGAAAGTCTGAAGAGTAGATTTGATGCTTTGAACACTAATGACTGAAGACCAGATGAGTCGTGGGATGATATCAAGAACATCCTACATGAAGAAACCAAAAGGTCATTAAAATAAATAAATAAATATATCAAAATTAATGTCACAAAAGACTCTGAACTTTCTGTTGAATGGAGAGCAGCTAAAGTGAAAGAAATGATGAGATAAAAGAGCTAAACAGCAGATTTCAAAGTGTAGCTCAAGAAGAGAAAGCAACATATTATAGTGAAAAGTGCAAACACCCAGTGTTACAAAACCAAAAAGGTAGAACATGTTCTCCATTTCTCAAGATGAAAGAACTGAAGGAAAAATTCAAACCTCAAGTTGTTATACTGAAGGAATCCATGGGCAAAAAACTGACCATGACACAGGAAGCATAAAAAGAAAATGAAAGGAATAAAGAATCACTGTCATGGATTGAGGAGCTCTGGTGGTGTAGTGCCTAAGGTATTTGACTGTTAAACAGAAGGCTGACAGTTCAAACCCACCAGCCACTCCTCGGAAGGCAGGTAGGGCAATCTACTTCCAAGTGATACCACCTCAGAAATCCAAGAAGGGGTCGCTATGAGTCGGATCCGACTCCATGGCAGTGGTTGCATTTGTGCTGCATTTGTGTCATGTATTGAACTGTCCCTCAAAAGTATGTATCAGCTTAGGTGGGTCATGATTCTCAGTGGTTTGGCAGCTATATAATGATGCAATGTGGCATTCTGCAAAAATTCCTCATGATGTGATCCCATGTGATAAGCCTATCAGTTGTAAAAGGATTAGGGTGTGATGCACCATGCTTAATCCCTTCACAGCCTTGATGTCATGCAGGAGAAGTTTTCATGGGGTGTGGCCTGCAATACCTATTATCTTACAATAGATAAAAGGAGGGAGAGAAGCAAGCACAGAGAGGGGCATCTACTACCACTAAGAAAGAAGATCTGGGAGCAGAGTGTATCCTTGGACCCAGGGTCCTTGTGCTAAGATCCTCCTAGGCCCAAAAGACACAGAGAAAGGATAGTCTTCCCCTAGAGCTGTTGTTGTTGTTGTTGTTGTTATTTGCCGTCGAGTCGGCCCCGACTCATAGCGACCCCTCCTTGGGTTTCCGAGGCAGTATCACTACGGAAGTAGGATTGCCCAACCTTCCTTCCGAGGAGTGGCTGGTGGATTTGAACCGCCAGCCTTCTGGTTAGCAGTCAAGTGCCTTAGCCACTATGCTACCAGAGCTCCCTCCCCTAGAGATTTGCCCAGTACAATACATCTCACAGTACAATACAAGCTCATGTCCGAATTCAGAGCTCTAGCTCCCCTAGAGCTAGAGCTCTGAATTCGGACATGAGCTTGTATTGTACTGTGAGATGTATTGTACTGGGCAAATCTGCTGCAAAAGACCTCTTTAAAGCACTGAAGAGCAAAGATATCTCTTTGGAGACTAAGGTGCACCTAACTCAAGTCATAGTATTTTCAATCATCTCATATACATGTGAAAGCTAGACAATGAATAAGGAAGAACAAAGAAGAGTTGATGCATTTGAGTTGTGGTGTTGGCCAAGAATACTGAAGGTACCATAGACTGAGAGAAACTAACCAAACCAAACTCAATGCACCATCAAGTTGGATCCGAGTCATAGTAACCCTTGCTTGGGTTTCTGAGGCAGTATCACTGTGGAAGTAGACTACCCAACCTTCTTTCTGAGGAGCAGTCAGTGGGTTTGAACTGTCAGCCTTCTGGTTAGCAGTCAAATGCCTTAGGCACTAAGCCACAAGAGCTCCCAGACTGACAGAAGAACTAACAAATCTGTCCTGGAAGAAGTGTAGCTGGAATCTTTCTTGGAACTGACCGTGGCCAGACTTCATCTCACCTACTTTGGTCATGTTATCAGAAGGGAACATTTCCTGGAGAAGGATTATCATGCTTGGTAAAGCGGAAGGTCAGTGAAAAAAGGGAAGGCCCTCAACAAGAAGGACTGACATAGCAGCTGCAACAATGAGCTCAGCTATTACAAGCATTGTGAGGCTGGCTTAGGACTGGGCAGTGTTTTGTTCTGTTATACATAGTCACTATAAGTCAGAGCTGACTCAATGACAACTAACAACAAACTATGAGAGAATAAATTTCTGTTTGTTATAGCCATCTACTTGTGCTATTTCTGTTACAGCAGCACTAGATAACTAACACAGTCACTGTACCAAAAAGCCCTGGTGGTGCAATAGTTAAAGTATTGGCCGCTAACCAAAAGGTTGGTGGTACAAATCCACTAGCACTCCATGGGAGAAGGATAAAGCGCTCTGCTTCAGTAAAGATTTACAGCCTTGGAAACCCTATGAAGCAGTTATATTCTATCCTATAGGTTTGTTATGAGTTGGAACTGACTTGATGGCAGTGGGTGGATACCAAAAAGAAACTGGTCAATTTTCAATCATTTCAGCAGGTAACAAATGATCAGGAACTGATGGTACCAAAGGAAAAAGTTCAAGCTACATTGAAGGCACTGGTGATAAACAAGGAGCCACGAATTGATGGAACACAAACTGAGATGTTTAAAAAAAGTGAGGCAATGCTGGAAGTGCTCACATATCTATGCCAAGGAATATATGTGCCTATTCCAAAAAAATGTAATCAACAGGAATGTGGAAATTATCAAGCAATATTATTAATATCATATGCAAATAAAATTATGCTGAAGATAATTAAAAAATGGTTGCTGCAGTACACTGACCGGGAACTGCCAGAAATTCAAGCCAGTTTCAGGAGAGCATTTGGAATGAGGGCTATCATTGCTGATGTGAGATGGACCTTGGCTGAAAGCAGAGTAATCAGAAAAATGTTTATCTGTGTTTTATCGATTATACAAATCCATTAAACTGTGTGGCTCATAATAAATGATGGATAACAATGTGAAGAATGGGAATTTTGGAACACAATGAAAGCTTGAGATGGTGTCAACTTGCCTAGGCCATGATTCTCGGTGGTTTGGCAGATATTACATAATCATATTCCATTTTGTTATCTGATGTGAGCAGCCAAGCAGTTGAAAGGAGAGTCCCCCTGGGGGCATGGCCTTCATCCAATATATATGGATGTTCTGGCAGAGCTCACTCTCCTTTGATCCTACATCCAACTCATCATCCTCTGACCTCTGGTTCTTAGGAGTTGAGCCAGCAGCCTGCCATCTGAGTTGCTGATTTGGGGATTTCCCGGCTACTACAACTCCATGAGCCAGCAGTCAGCCACATGACCTGCCAATTTTGGGTTCATAAGCTCCTGCTACCATATCAGTCAGGAGAAGCCTCCAGCATGCCTGATCCACAGATTTGGGACTTGCCAGCCTCCATAACTTTGTGATCCATTCCCTAGAAATAAATATTTCTATATATTTATATATACATATCACTGGCTTTGCTCCTGTAGAGAATTTAGCCTAAGACAAAGCTCTAGATTTGCAAACCTACATACAAGTCTTTATTTTAGTTATTTTTTTAAAAAAAATTTACTTATTTTGGATAATAAAAATTTTCAAAAAGCAAAAGGAATATGTAGTGAAAAGGAAAGAAGTCTCCTTTCACCCCATCTCTCATTTCTTTCTTTGATTGTTTTCTCCAGCAGCTACCACTATTGCCACTTTCAGTTTCATATACATCACTACAGATATATTCTTGCATTCATGCATACATATTTTATCCCTCTCTCTTTCTCTTTCTTTGTCTCTGTGTGTGTGTGTGTGATTTATTTTTCCAAAGTAAGACATTAAAATCAGACCTAACTCATGAGACTCTTGATTCAATTATCATATCAGGAAATTAAAATCTTGTCCAACTAAACCAACAATGAAAATTACCAGAGTGATTTGGGAAATTTAATGTATTCAGAAGATATTATTTTAAAATAAGTAATCAATCTACATAATAGTGAATACAAAGTTCATTTAAACTATATTCCAGTCTCAAAAATAAACATAAATAATTGATATACTTGTCATTTTTTCTAGCCAGTTATTAAATATTTAATTCCTTCAATGGAAAAATTAGAGCTCTGGTAGTGCCTAAGACATTTGACTGCTAACCAGAAGGCTGGTGGTTCAAACCCACTAGCCACTCACTCCTCAGAAGGAAGACTGGGCAATCTACTTCCATAGTGCTACTGCCTTGGAAACTCAAGGAGGGGTTGCTGTGAGTTGGACCCAACTTGACGGCACTGAGTTTTTGAGTAATTTTATATGTAAGGGTTCTCTTTTTTAAAAAAAAGATTTTTAAGTTTATTTTATATCATATTCATAACAATCTAGACTCACCGGCAAAATGGCAACTTTGGCATAACTTTCCTTCATGTTTTCTTTCATTATTATTACTGTTTCTTGTAGAACATAATCTTCACTTTCAGTAGCTTGATTATTGATGGGCAGTAAGAAATCTGGTTTAGCTATCAAGTGAATGGCAATGTCCCCAAATAATCCTTTATCTCGAACAATTTGTAATTGAAGAAGGGTGATGTTCTCTATAACACAAATATAGTTCAATACAAAGCTTTTTAATTGCTGTCAGTGCTCTATAAAGTGCTTACAGCAGAATATTCTACAATGTCTCTTTAATATAATTAAGGAAAGAGAGATACGACAAAGACAATTTATATTCTGAAGAATATTTTATTCCTGTCTCCCTTGTCCCAAAATTTGTGCTGAGAATTATCTTCAAAGCTTATTACTATATTCCAGTTCTAACTTTTACTTTCTGACTTTGTAACACACTTTCCTCTGTTCACATACTATACACATTAACAGAAATTGCATGAAATCTTAAGAAAGTGCCTATATGCAAGTTCAGCCTACGTGTCAAATACAAATGCTCAAAAGAGTCTTCAAAATGAAAATCATCATTTAATGACTAGAATAAGAGTGCTTGTGTTCTTCTACTAAGGTACTTATCACAAGTCTCAAAGTATTTCATAGCACTTAATTTTAATTTCATTTTATTTACCATATGAAATGAAAAATAAAATGTGCCTGTCGATGACAATGTAGAAAGACTGGATCTCTTACACTGCTAGTGAGACTGTATAATGTTAAAGCTACTGTAGAAAACAGTATAGCATTTCCTAAAAAAAATTGAAAATAGAAATACCATTTGATTCAGCAACTCCATTACCAGGAATACATCCTAAAGAGGTGAGATCTGGGGCAAGAATAGATATATGCAAACCCATGTTCATCACAGCAAAATTCACTATTGCAAAGAGATGGAAACAACTTAAGTGCCCACCAACAAATGAATGGATAACCAAACTATGGTACATTCATACAAGGGAATGCTAGGCAACATTAAAAAAATAATAAAGAATCTAAAAATCACCTCATAACATGGATGAATTTGGAGGACATTTTGCTGAGTGAAATAAATCAGTCACAAAAAGACAAATATTATATGAGCCCATTATTACAAAAAAGTCAAGGAAAGGTTCACACAGGGAAGGAAATTTACTTTGTTGGTTAATAGGGATGAGAGGGAAGGAGAGTGAAATTTTCTGATTAGTTAAGAGTTATATGTTAATTTAGGTGAAGGGAAAGATAATATAACAAAAGTGTGTGACCAGCACAGTAACAACAGGGAAAAGGAGGACACAGAAGCAAATACTATTACATGCACAGTACTGGATTACCAGTGGCAGCAAACACTAGTCTATGGGTAAATGCATAGACAAGTGAGAAGATCAGTTGTGTGTAAGTGAATAGGAATATACTCATGACCTAGGATCGATTTGCCTGAAGATGTTCTTACACGTGTATCTATGCTTAAAAAAAGAGAAAAATCCATACACATTATAGAAGCAATGGGGGACAGGGTTGGAGCAGCTTCTTGATGACAACCAAGCATCTTCAGGTAGAGAGTCACCAGGCCTGCAGGCTTGGGACCATGGTCTTGGGGAACATGAAGCTCAACTGGCACAACATAGTACATAAAAATCTTGTTCTACATCCTACTTTGGTGAGTGGTGACTGGGGTCTTAAAAGTTTTCAAGCAGCCATCTAAGATGCAACGATTGGTCTCCCTTGGTCTAGCACAAAGAAGAATGAAGAAAATCAAAGTCATATGGAAACAATTAGTCAAATGATATGATAGACCATGGAACCTCAGCCTTCACAACCCTGAGACCAGAAGATGGTGCCTGGTTACCAATGCCAAAGGCTCAGAAAGGGATTAAAATTGGAGATCCTGCATAGAGTGGGAGGAAAAATGGGGAACAAAGTTCAAAAACACAAAAATTACCAGAATTACTGGTTGGATAGAGATTGGTGGAACCCCTGAGACTATGGCCCCAGGTTATCCTTTGGGCCTGGAACTGGACTCACTCCCATGGATTAGCTCTCAGCCAAACAGTAGAGAGACCTACAAACAGAACATTTAACCCAGGGAGATGCACCCACCTAACCTAGGGAGATATGTCCCTTGGATCAATCAACCATGAGACATGAGAAGGGCAGAGTTTTCATAGAGGGAAAGTTGGAAAGACAGGAATGCAAAGATAGGAAGGGCTTAGGGAAGGGATAGTCACAGAGAGAAGATGGGACGAGAGCTTTTTATTATTGGGATTGTAATTGGGGCCATGAAACCAAATGTTCATAAACGGTTGAGAGTAAAACAAATATCCTTTGTAAATTTGTACCCAAATCACAATAAATTTTTTTTTTTTAAATCCCTGTAAACTTCCCCCACTGGTCTTAAATTCCTGAGGACTAAAGATGATGTCTTGGTTTCCATACAACACTAATTCCTGGCACTTAACTGTTGTTATTGCTGTTAGGTGCCATTGAGTTGTCTCCAACTCATAGTGACCCTATATACAGCAGTATGAAACACTACTGGTCCTTTGCCAGCCTCATGATCCCTACTCTACCTGAGCCCATCATTGCAGCCACTGTGTCAATCCATCTCGTTGAGGGCTTTCCCCTTTTTCATTGACCCTCCACCTTACCAAACATGATATCCGTCTCCGGGAAATGGTTCCTTCTGATAACGTGACCAAAATAGGTGAGACGAAGTCTGGTCATTCTTGTGTCCAAGGAGCATTCCAGCTGCACTTTTTCCAGGATAGATTTGTTAGTCCTTTTAGCAGACCATGGTACTCTTACCATTCTTCCCCAATACCACATCTCAAAAGAATCAACTCTTCTTCCATCTTCCTTATTCATTGTCTAGCTCTCACATGCATATGAGGTGACTGAAAATACCACGGCTTGGGTTAGGGACATCTTAGTCTTTAAGGACAAATCTTTGCTCTTCAGCACTTGAAAGAGGTCTTTTGCAGCAGATTTGCCTAATGCAATATGTCATCTGATGTCTTGACTGCTGTTTCCATTGGTGTTGTAGAACCAAGCAATATGAAGTCCTTGACAACTTCAATCTTTTCTCCATCCACCACGAAGCTGTTTATTGGACCAGTTGTGAGGATTTTTGTTTTCTTTATACTGAGGTGTAATCCATACTGCAGAGACTGCAGTCTTTAATCTTCATCAATAAGTGCTTCAAGTCATCCTCACTTTCAGCAAGCAAAGTTGTGTCATCTGAGTATCGCAGGTTGTTAATGAGTCTTCCTCAAATCTTGATACCATGTTCTTCTTCATATAATCCAGCTTCTCAGGTTATTTGCTCAGCATATGTGG